TCCATTTTACTGTTTTCCTAGGAAGGGAATAATAGGCCAAGAACTGGTCGGCCCTATCAACTCCTTTCATGAACATATTATACTCGGAAATACAAAGAGGCTTCTTTACTTGCCCGTGTCGTCTTTGAACATCGACCATGCTCGAATTGTGAATAGTGGAAACCATATTCACAACGCGAGTATCCCTCCAGGACTGAAGAAGAATGTCCCCCTTCTTCCTGAATGCGGTGTTGCCACGTTTCAGGCATTTACATTCCTCTTTCAGATCTGGAGGGAGGCCTCTGTTCACCCTAACTGTACAACAAATATGTACTTTCCTTGAAAGTAGGTATTCTGCAGTTGCCACACTGTTTTAATAATTATCTTGATACACGTGATAATTTTGATCGAGATAGGGACCCAAAACAGAAACAATAGTTTCTTGCAATTTCTTGCCTTCAGCAGAATAAATTTCTAAATTTCCTATATAGCCTGAAGTGCTTTCCGTGACAACAGGAACAAGTAGGCCATACTTTGTGAGCTTCCCAGAATTATACGTTCGAATACGAAGCCCTCCTCTCCAAGGAATCACAGATTAGTCCAAAGACAGTTGTTGCTCTGGCTTATAAACTGTCTGAAATTTTTCAACCAAAATGTCTAAAAAGCCTGCCCGTTGGTTGTGGTTGCACTTCATTATTGTTGAAATGCAAACACCACCATATCTGTTCAAATCTCTTACGACTCATGAGTTTGCCAAAATTGCAATTTCTAAAAATGGGTCACTTGACCAATAATCCTTCAAACTTTCTCTCTTTGTAAGCCCCATTAGAATGATTGCAGCCAAAATTTTTTTTATTTCTGTTGAAGTGACATCCACCCACTTCAAAACCTTATTGGTTCTGTCGTACGCCTCACGGTGTTGGAGATAGTATCTGTTAGTTTCCTGACACAACAGGTCAAAGAAACTATCTCCAAAAAACAGTGACGCAACTTCAGACACATCCGTTGGGTCCAATGGCATCTGCTTCACACCCGGATCACCAGTAAACTTTCCCAAAGTGGGGGTTTTGTCCACTTTATCCCGTGTAGCTGTCCCGACACTCGCACTTTCAACGGAGCTCTCACTTTCACTTGACACATTTTGGGCAGCCCTGTGACCCCCGTCACTGTCACTGTCACTGATAAAGGCCTTGCTATCAGAAGACGAAGCAGTTGGCAAATCTGATAGCGCATCGGAGAACATATCTAATATTTCCTGTCCTCCGAGAGATCACAACTGCTTTCGTCTCTGAGCCATGATGAACTGGTAGCTGCGTGATTCATACGTGGAAGCTTGGATTAGAACAAAGCCAATTTTGTTTAGGTTGTGACAGGAAATGACTCTGGTCGAGTTACTAGATAAGGCAGCAATCATTCCTGAGGTCATCTACGCAGTAGTTACGATTCAACGAAGCCACACAGCGATATATATCGTTTTGCAACATAACGTGACCGTAGAGGGCCATATGGCCCGACCGGTCCACAACGCTTGGAAACATAGAGGGCCATATGGCCCCTCCGGTCCGCAATGTGTTAACGTTTAAAACCTATTGCAGTATTATGTCATACAAATTACAGGAGACAGACTTAAGCTATGTTTGAATATAAGTACTGGTTGGAATTATTATTATTATTATTATTATTATTAATTAAAACAGAGAGCTGTAAATTTACGCATTCAGCAGAAATTTACGACTCTCTGTTTTAAACGTTTTTTTGCTCAAGTAGATTACTGTTACGATTTTGCTTTAGAACAATTGAAATTGCACACCTTGCAAAAGAGGAGATATCATCTTGATGTGCTCTTCCTTATTCAAGTTTATCGAGGTTCTATACTTTGCCATTCTGCTTTGGAAATTGTTGGCCTTCGGGTCCCTGTGCGATATATCCAGGACTTTCCTATGTTCAATGTCTGTTATGTTAGTAAAAATTGCCCCTCTGCTAGATGCACTTCTGCTGCTAGTATTGTCTTTGTTGACGTCTTTGGACCAAAAACGTTTCTGATGAAATATATCTTATACTGAACTAATTAAACTATTGTATTATCATTATTTTTATTAATTTTGTTGCTGTTATTATTATTATTGTTATTATTGTTGTTGTTGTTGTTTTTGTTGTATGCTGGTTTATTTGAAACTCAAATTCTCACATTGTGCCTTTGTCCGTGTATGTTTGCATCTGTATCTTTATTCATGCTAATTGTGTAATTAATATCGACTATCATTTTTGAACTTTGTGTTTTAATTATTTTTGTGTATTTCTCTATTCCTGCTAGCTTTGTAATTGGGCTCTGTGCTGTTAAGCTTGCATGTAAATAAACACAAATTCAATTGAATTGAAACTGAATTATTAACTCTAACATTGCAATTTATCAAGTGTGTAATATATAGTAACTTTAACAGCCATAATCCATGTGTCTTGCTTTGATTTCAGGGGATATCTAAAGATTGTGTATTACAATTAGTAAAAAAATACAAAAATCAAATTTCTGTAAGAGAAAACAGAATCATGTTTCCAAACTGATGGATTCAACTGCCTTACACTTACTCTTATCAGTGAGTATATGGATAACCCTTGTGACCAGTGTTTCAGCTCCTTTTGGACACTCTTCTACAAGTTTAAGTAGCTGAGGTGAGTCCATTCCCATCCCTCTCACAGGTTGCTCCAATAGGCGGAGAATTGTCCGTTTCACATCAGCCACAGTTTGTACATACACTCTAGTCAGCCTGCAACAAGTAACCAATCAAAATACTAGTAATTCAATCTGAGAATGCAACTTCTTTGTGCTGCATGTCCACAGTTTGCTGTCTTGTTCAGTTTTACCTTCCTCCTCTAGTAATGTCTAGCAGAATAAACTCCTAGAAGTGTTCTTGAGAAGATGATGGTAGCTCAGCTGGTCAAGAAACTGCATGTCTTTTATGAAACCTGAAGGTTTAATACTGCGATCACAAGAGTCTATCACTGAACCCTACCGTGGGTCAACTGAATCAAGTCCACGCCCTCACATGCTCCTTAAGGTCCAGTTTAATGTTAACTGCCCAGGTCTCTGAAGCAGCCCTTTTTCTTCTGGTTATCTGGTTATCCGGTTATCCTGCATGCATACCTCATCTACCCCATATATTCTGCATGTCCTGCCCACTGATCTTTCCATGAATAGTAAAAATTCTGAATCTCCTCATTATGTTACATTCTCAATCTTCCCCTTCTTTCCAAACATACAGAAAGCAGCATCCATATAACAGAACATTGAGAAATTAAAAAACTCTAATTTTGCTATTTTTTTCCAAACTCATTTTCCAGAATTCTGTATGCATTTCTTATCTTCCTTTTCTGAGTCATATGGCCAGCCTACCACAGGCTGCTTTATGTCACATTGCCCCAAAAATACTATATGTCGCCCTCCTCCTTCTCCTCCTCCTCTGGCCTGTTCCCATTCAGAATTAACTATGAAACTATGTAACTTGCAGACAGCTGGTAGGCCTCCTTGAATGGGGCATCAGCCTGACACAAGGGCACTACTTACATACGACAAACATCAACACTGAAAAAATGCTGACATACATCCATGCCTTGAGTGGGCTCTGAACCCACGATCCCAATGTTTGAGCAGATGAAGAAATTGCATGCTTTAGATATCATGGTCACTGTGACTGACTGTAGCGTAGTTAGTTGAGGCACTATGCTACAAACTGGAAGGTCACGGGTTCAAGTCCCAATGAGGTCATTTGATTTTTTTCAATTGACCTATCCTTTCAGCCACACTATGGCCCTCAGCCCTAACAGAAATGAGTACCAGGAATATTCTTTGGGGTTAAGGGCGGCCAGCGCCTAAGGCTGAAAACTTTGCCACCATCTATGAGCTGATTGTCTAGAAAATGTGGGAACCTCAACACCTAACAACCCTATGGGCCTTCACGGCCTGTTACAGGGATAGCTTTACTTTTTTACTTCACTGGGATTGACCGTAGACTCATATAGAAGCAAGTCATAATATTCCTCATTGTACACAACTCACCCACCTAAATGAAAAATGACCTCCCTTTAAATAATATATCTGCACACTGAAAATCATTTAATATCACAGTGAATATCAATCACAGTGAAATATGAGAAAAATAATAAATATTTTAAAATATGTTATACACTACACTTATTACGTACATTTCTTCTAACTATCTTCACCATTCCTATCTTCATCAGATCTGCTGTCACATCTCATTGTGTGGAATTACTGCTTTTGGTTCATACCTTCCATGGTACTTCTTCACATCATGACCCTGGAACATATTTCTACGTCTCTTGCACTTCTTCTGGTGCTACTCACCACAGCACATACCTCCTGACTTTGGAACATATTGTGACATGTTGCGCAAAGGAGAACCCCCCCCACCAGCAGTGACGCGGCGGGTGAGTCAGCGCTCCCCTCCCCCTCCTCCGCACGGTAACGTAGCGGTGACGTCACTGAGGGATATCACGGTTGCTAGTCAGCAGTCAACAACTCCGGACAGCGTGGCTAGCAACACGGCACCAGACGACAATTGTCCGATCAAGGCTACATGAGGAGCAGCGAAGGCTATTCACAGTCAGTCCTGGAGCTACCTCCGAGTTAGTTCCGAGTTAGCCAGCAACCAGTCAGTTGTATTCTGGCATTTGGAGTTTACTATTTGTGATACTGCAGATAGCAGTAGTTCTAAAACTGTCAATTGGGTGATTGTAAGTGCGAATGTGGAATAAAATTCGCTACATCAAATACATCGTGAAGTTATTTGTCGTGTTATACGCCCGACACGCGACAACTGGTGTCAGAAGTGGGATTTGGACTTACACACGTGATCAACGAGATTCGAACTCAAGACACGTGATAATTTGCTGTCAGAATTTTTACGAGCTTAAATATGCCTCAGAGAATTTTACTGCTACAAAATGGAGATGCAACAAATGATGGAACTTCTACTGAAGGAAATCAGAGAGAAACACGAAACGACGGAGGCCAATAGAAAAGCCGACAAGGAAGAAATGCTCAAGGAGATTCGGGCAAACCAAGTAAGAGCAGATACCTACCGCGTGCAGATGCAAGAAATGTTCCGAACCCATCAGGAAGAAATGAAGGCCATGCAAGAAAATTGGAAGAAAGACAAAGAGGATATGCTGAAAGTGATGAGGGCCAACCAAGATAAAGCAGACATCATGCTGGCCAAATTAGACGCCTACCAAGAAAAGGCGGCGGCCGATAGGAAGGCCGACAAGGAAGAGATGAAGGCCGAAATGCAATCTATGCGGTCAGAGTTGGAAGAGTTAATCCAACATAGAATTGAAAACAGTTTTGCGATCTTTGAACATGGCAAAGGGATTCTGCAGTCGGAGCTAACTGAGAAGATTGAAGTGTCCCTCTGCGCGCGAACAACAAAACTACAGGAAGACCTATCGAAGAACTACAATGAAACTTGCGCAGTAATTGAGGAGGCCAAACGCGAGGTCCGGGCACGGTTGGATGAGACGAGACAGACGAAGGCCGAGCGGGAAAATACATCAAAAATCGTCACGAGCACGGCTCAGCCACCGACATTCAATGGAAATTCAACGTGGAGCGTGTTCCGGCAACAATTTGAGACCGTAGCAGAACACAACCAATGGCCGGACAGGGAAAAATTAACATACCTCATCACCGCTCTGAAGGGCCGGGCGGCAGAAGTGCTACCTGGCATTCCGACAAATACCACTTATGAGGAAACGCTTCAGGTACTAGAGGACCGTTTCGGTGACCAACACTTTGCAGCTGCCTACCGCTGCCAATTAAGAACAAGGACCCAGAAACCTGGAGAATCCCTGCAAGACTTTGCCACGGCCATTGAACTGCTTTCCCATCGTGCCTACCCCAATCTACCTGCAGACTACATAGGAAGAGAGGCAGCAACAGCCTTCGTATACGGAATACGAGATGCCGATATAAAGATCCAGTTGCTGCTAGGAGGTGAGAAGAAGGTAAACGAGGCCCTCCGACAAGCACTAGAGCTGCAAGCGGTACAGATAGCAGCTAGACCTCACGAAGATAGCACCAAGACATACCAGAAGTACCGATCGTCCGCCAACCAATGAGGAGACGGAAGACAATCAGGCTGCTGGAGTTGTGGAAAACTGAGCCACTTCGCGAATGACTGCCCCTACGAAAGGAAGGCTAATTAAGAAATGCGCCGAGACCATGAAGATAGGCCAGGCAGATACACATGGGAATTGCCAAGAAGGCACGACGAGAACACGAACAGGAAGGGTACCCAACCGTCGGGAAATGAGCGATGGCCGGCGGAGAAGGGCGAACGCCGGCATATGCATCAAGGCCTCCACACTACGCACTCACCGTCAAAAGGGTGAATGCCAACCACAATGAGATGACGGCCTGCCAAGAGAGAGGCACGTCCAGAAGGAGAAAAGCCGGCCTCAGCGAACAGGAAACCTGAGGCGGCAGAACTATTAGAGGTACCCGTAAAAGACGCCGAAGTAATGCCGGTCGGAAAACCGAAGAAGAAAAGGCGTAGGGACCGAAAGCGGTATATGAAGAATTCGACGCGGGAAAAGAGTGGACCCCAGAAGAAGTTGGCTGCCCCCTGCGGGAAGACATCCCATCGCGCGACAGTGGCACGACGTTGGAGAAATGCCCAGGGAACCTTTGGATGCCGGAGAGAGGACTTGGCGCCACGGTCTTGTGCCTGCAAGCGGCTGGAAGACCAGGAGGAACAATGAAGTCAGCAAGGGCGAACAACGCATCAAGGGCTGTTACGTCGACATGAGGAACCTCCGAAGACAAACTGGATCAAGGATTGGAACTTATGGAGGGGTCGACCCCTTCCAAAACGAAAAAAGACGCAAGGCACAGAAGAGGAGCCGGTAAAATAGAAGAACCGGCCTCCCCAGAGAGAGTGAATGTGCCATGGGATAAAGTGATGGATGAATGGGACACGACTGGATCTTCTGGCGAGCTGCAAGGAAACCGCTCAAGTTGAGTTGGTCTTAAGAAGGGAGCGGTTGTAATGGATGAAGAACAGATGCTGCAAGAACAGCCTCCGAAGCAAAGGAACGGGGATGCACCGTTAGGCTCTTCGGGACGAACAGCCTTAAGAAGGGAGCAGTGTGACATGTTGCACAATGGAGAACCCCTCCCTATCCAGCAGCAACGTGGCAACTCAGGCCACAGTGACGTGGCAGATGAGTCAGCGCTCCCCTCCCCCCCTTCCGCACGGTAACGTAACGCGCAATGCGCAGTGACATGGCACTCATTACGCAACAGGCAAACACTGCGGCTATATAAGGGAACTGCACAGCGGCTGCGAGTGAGTTGTAACGTGGCCATCGCCGAAGACAGTTCCGAGTTAGGTCCGAGCAAGCCTACGAGTCAGTGCGTTACCAACGAGTTCACAGTCCGCAAGTTACGAGCTACAGACGCGTGTGCGATAACCAGTGATAACCAGTTATATCTGGAGTGTGTAATTCAGGGAGACTTGTATAGCTCCCGCGTTATTAATACGTGAAGACTCTTGAAGATAGTGTTAAGAGATTTTGTTGTAGGGTTTGTAAAGTGTGGAAACCCGTAATATTGTGATAATTAATTGTAGCCGTTATTTGAAGATTGTTAAATAAACCAATTAACCATCTCTACGGCATCTTCTGTAACGAAACACGTTACAATATTTATGTCCCCCCCCCCCTTCAAATGCAGACAGCATGACATGACAGGAACATGAGCATACACTACGTCTTAAAAACATCAATAAACTTAAATCTTAGAATGTTTAAAAACATACATTTCAAACTTAAATTTTCTAACTCCAAAATAAAGGGAAAAACCTCTCTGCCCATATGCATAAATACAATAATATCCTTCATTCTCCAATTGCATCATCTCGATTAGCAGTTTTCAAATACTGAACTGAAGAGTAGCCGCCATTTCTTCAATTTACAGTTCAAGTAATCCCATCACAAACCTCAATGTTGTTTCTTACAGTTCTTCCTGGATATACTGTGAAAGTAAATGGTAAAGCTGTCCCTGTGATTAATTAATCAAGCATCATGCCATGAGGACATATGAGACAGTCAATCATTAATAACTTTAGCACTTTGGATAAGTGCTAAACTTCATGTCTCTCTACTGCTTTACCTTCAGGGAAAGAGCCCCTAGTACTCATTGGAAGGAGGCTGGGTGGGGCCCAGAGATAGTCTGAACAATTTGGAGAAGAGAATAATTTCTTGCCTATGCTTGGAATTGAACCCTGATTCCCCAGCTGTCCAGCCAATAGCCTAGTCACTCTTTTGACTGGGATCCCCTTAAATTTTGAAACATTTTCAAATAATACGACTACACACTTTGGTGCAGAGTAAGGTTTTGTAATACATTCATATATTCAGTTTTAGGCATATTAGATTCCAAATCAATTTCTTTGTAATCCTGCATAATTGGTTACTTATACTGTCATCCAAAACATTTTCATCAGAGAGAGATGGAGGGGAGGGGAGGGGAGGGGAGGGGAGAGAGCAGAGAGTACACGTAATTCATTCAGACCTGTACTTTCTAGCCTTCCTGATTCTTTTAACTTTCCTTATAACATATTATGAAGCACAATTAAAAATCGGTGGGGATACAACAACCTCATGTTTTATTCCACTGTAAACAGGCAATGTCAACATAAAAAAATTGATTTGGCTTAATGGATGGAGAGCTGCTTTAACAAAATTCATCACAAAAGTCCAAAATCTCACTTCTGAAAACACACTGAAGCAAAACAGATTTGTTCATCAAATAATGTTCTAAACTGTCAACTTACATCACCCTTCTTAAGACACATTTTTTTCAAATATTGTTATTTAAAATGTTAGTAATGTAGGTCTGCTTTATATTCACCTCAGAGTTTAAAGAATACTCACTCGTGAATTAGTTTCTCATTGATAGGGAGCAAGGCTAGGTACAGATAGAGGCACACTTTGACAATGTCCTCACTCCAAACGTCACTCTTGATAGGACGTCCCCTGTCCATACCAAAAAGGACATCTGGTGGTTGACGCAGGCGAAGGAAACCAAGATATAATATAGCATACTCTTCTATGATGCTACGCAGGTCCCCGCGATCATACAGTTCCACCACAGCCTTTATGGCACGTCCACGAACCTATAAAACCAAATAGTTCTAAAAAGTTGATAGAATTTTCCGTCCAGTGTGGCAATAGAGGTCACATCACTTTTATTATTCCTGCCTTACATGTTTCGGTTTAAATAAACCATCATCAGAGGCACCTTTTATACAGCAGGAAACACTGTTAATTAAGCTGTTTGGTGTTCACTTTCAATTGTGTTATTCACAAATGTATGTTTCATATTATCATAAGTTTTAGTACTGCAGTACAAAGGCCACAGCACACACGTAACATCATAACGCGTATAAGCCCACATACCACCAAGAATGATGATTCCCATCCACGGGAAGAATTGACAACCAACAACGACCTACGACAATTGAATTAAAATTTTTAAATAGTTTAATCGTGATTTAATCCATACATAAGAAATTTACTGTGGGGAAACAGTGATAATTCCTGTGCTGCGTATAGCCTATTGGAATACTCACTTGTTCTGCATGTTTGTGTTTTTATACAACGAGTGCCGTTGTAAATAAAACTTATGATAATACAAAACATACATTTGTGAATAACACAACTGAAAGTGAACACCAAACCAGCTTAATTAACAGTGTTTCCTGCTGTATAAAAGGTGCCTCTGATGATGGTTTATTTAAACTGAAACATGTAAGGCAGGAATAATAAAAGTGATGTGACCTCTATTGCCGCACTGGACGGAAAATTCTATCAACTTTCCAACTTAATAGTGAGGTGGACCAGAATGAGACAATTTAAAATAACCAAATAGTTCTCTTCAGTCATTGGCATCATATCCTTCATTCTACCATTTGTCAATTGATGCTACATAAACTCTGTACTTAACAGAGCATAATAAAATATTCAAACAAATAATCACTGAAAGTGACATGAAATATTTTACCTCAGGATTTTCATGGGCAGTATGCAGCAGAAGGCCATTGAGGAATGTCAGTTGTTTGGGAGGTCGACGGGTAACCAAGTCCTGCAACAGGTGTAATCCGACAGGTGCCCGAGTCTCATCACCACACATATTCTTCAAGAGATCTGTTGCTTCTTCCGTTATCAGCGGTGCTTCTAGGTACAAGCGAGCTAGAAGACTACACCACAAACACAAACAACACAACACAACATAACAGTCATAAAACCAGGTTCATAATTTACTTCCACATTTTCCTTAGTTTCACATAGTTCTCTGCTGCACATAAGAAACACTGAACAGTCTAATACAATAAAATTTATACACATGTTTAGTTACTAAATTACTTACACCTGCTTTAGTTTGCAAGGTCATAAAAACACATACATCAACACATGCACTATATATAAAGAAGATGGGAACAAATTTCGAGTATATCACTGTCACAGTCTGCAATGTGAGCTGTGTGGAAGTAATGAAAAGGTGGAGGAAAATATTAACGTCTCAAAGATTATGCAAGGTTTGAGATATTTCCCAGCACAACAGGATCTGAATGTCACCTATGGCAGTGGTTTTCAACCCAATACCCCCCCCCCCAGTTAACATAAC